AGGAACAAACAGGAGCGCACTAGGCTGTACACACATTTGTCGATGCACTTCTGTCACGAGGGCTGTGCTCTTCAAGCAAAGCAGGAGCGCTGTGTCTCGGAAACGTCCCACCCCGAAGTTGCCTGTAGTGGGGCTAGACGAGACAAGCAACGATAGTTGTAATAGCTTCGAATCACGTACTTCTAACCTTACTTACTACGACCCCAAGCCTTCAAGTAGGACTCCTCGGCTTGGAGTTCAGGGTGGGCGCTGGGCTGAAGAACTCACGAAGCCCAACACAAACCAATCAAGAAGGCTTGGATCTGAAAGTGTCTAGAGTCTAGGGCTTCTTGCTACGATTTATAAAGCAGATCCCTTACGCAATGTAAACGTTCTAAGTTTTTTGTCTTGAAGTATATCGGGCTTCTTACTACAACTTAAGGTATGTTCCTGCTTGGCTCTCTCCAGGCTCCACGGATCGATATTCTGGCTTGTGGCTTTAGGCCCCCCCTCCCCCGCCAACAAGTTGCACATTTGCTTTGGTTTTGAGTCTGGGATTTTGAGTTAGCGGCCCAGTGTTTCGGACCATGGGGAAACTTCGAGAACCTCCAAAGTCGCTATCTCGGATCTTCACGGATTTTTTGGCACCCAAAGTTGCCCTGCAAAGCGCTACTGTAGAACGCCGTGGGCTTCAGGGAGGGATTGTTGACAAGCGGGCTTTTTGCGCATCAGCAGAAACATTGGGACGCCAAAGTCTATGCCACAATGCAGGGAGCTTCGGATCAGAAACTCTCCTCCCTGAAGCCTACACCCACCCATTTAGCCTTTAATGCTGAACCTGGAGAGAGGATGGGCTTGGGGTCCCCTAAACCTTTGTCGCAGCATCCCCTCCCCCAACCCCACAGCCATTCTGCACACGGCCTTGCCTGAACGTTGACACCAATGTCGACGTCCGCTGCAGAAGTTTGAGGAAGGCTGGATCGCTGCCTTGACTGCGGCGGTTTGGGATCAGCATACGCCCCCGAAACCCGGGAAGACGTAATGGCCAATACTAGGGTCCGTTTGCATCCAAACTCGAAGCCGTAAATAAGGAGTCGCTGAACCATCAATTCCCGATATGTCCGTAGCATGATCACCCACAACTCGCATCCGCTGCATGCGAACACGTAACTTCCAGCGAGGTAAACCTCTAACACACCCAGGACATTAGATGCTTAAAGGATTAGGGACTTCGGAAATAGAAGTATAAGCTGGGTAGCTATAGCTAGGATTGCTCTTCCCCGCCGCTAAGTCCAAAACCCTCTGAAGCCTAGGCAGAAGCCTCAAAGATTCCTAACTCCCAAAGTTCCCGATTTTCCAAGTAAGCTGAGGTGCCCAGTGAGTCTCTGGAGTCGTTGGCGCCCCTTCCTAGCCAGGCGAAGGCAGCACTGAGATGCTGCCTTAGTCGGGCTCAAATCATATCATACCCTGTAACATAATACCACCTGAGATAATATAATATAGCATAATAACATATTATATAGCCTTCACTAGGCATCTTTGGGCCTCATTGAGAAGCGGCATGAGGTGGTGCATAGGGATTCTACAGTGGCCACCGTTGCGTTGAAGGATTTCAGCGCGGGCTGGGGCTGCAGCGATCGTTTCGGCTTGAGGTTGCGACGGCTGGTGCTTTAGGGTACATGTTTCAGGGGCCTTGGTTCAGGGTTTGGCTTTCAGTGTCCGAGGGTCCAAAGCCCAAATTCCTAAACCACACGCCCGCATCGCTTGAAGGTTCCTGGCTTTTGTGGTCCGGCTTGATGCAATACATAATACTCTCCGGTACAGAGGCTAGGAAGCTGGATGGGAAGGCTTTGACCGTTTCTCAGCATCAGGTGTGCAGTCACGATAAGGAGCCCAGGATAGGGACTTTGAGCAGCCTCAGGGTCTGAATCATACTTGCAGATCCTCTTTCTCTTTGGCACCCGATCTGGCTGCTGCATGTCGACAAACGGGTAGGCTTGCTGGCGACTACATTTGGAGAGATTCCGAGCAGCTGTAAGTAAGTGTAATAGGGACTTGGATTAGTGTTTTTCACCATCAACAGTCTATAGCAGAGGCCCCTGGTCAATTACCCATCGACCCTCTTAAGCCACAAGCCTTAACCCTGAATGCGAACTCTTCAACTTCGCTTTCTGAGAATTAGTCGCTGCGTCTCGTATGAGCATGCGTTGAACAAACTGCCCAACAAAGACTCGATCAACCCTGCCATGAATCCAACGGGGTCCGATCGATGAGAACAAGGAAGGAACCATTCGGGAAGCGTCTGAAGCCTTGTAACTTTGAGAGTGTTTGGGCCACCTCGCCTCAAGTAGGCAGGCGAAGGGCATGCGGCATTCATTGCAGATTTGGCATTTTGTACTTCTCGCAGCCCAACAACTCAACATGACAGCGCTCAATGAATCAACAGCAGTAACACTGGACCTAAGGGAGCTCCTAATTTTGAGAACACCCTCCAAATTCGGCTGCAAGTATCCCTGAGTATGGCCTGATATGGGAGCTAGAGGTTGATCAACAAGAAAACGGAACAGAAGAAACATGTGGCGCTTTGAATCAACACCGATGTCGATACCCTTAGACTTCGTGGCATTTGTGTTGTGACTGCAGAACTCATCCCGGTTTCTGAACACCAAATCCCGAAATCCTGAGCCCGAGACACCAGATACCACGGGTCGAAACTCCGAGGGAGGCTTCCGTCCACATAAACGGGAGGGTTGTTACAAATTGCGGGGTGGGGGGTCGCCGGAAGCAGGTTCCTTCATACCAGTCGAGAGATGACATTGTGTTAAGGGCAAGCCTGCTCAGAAGCGATCAGCAAGCATTCAGAGACCCCTGGCAGCACCTGAACATGTACACGCACTCAAGCATTGTGAAGTTTTGGGGTTTTAGCATGCAGCTGCGGCTATCATCCTCAACTGTTGGCAGTAGCCCTGCATCGTTGGTCTGTTTAGTTCAAGTGCCTCTAGGGACCCTCAGCATGCGAAAGCCATAAATGGACAGCCGACACTCAGATGAAGAGTTCTACAACGCCACCTGTGGGCAGTCGCGGCTTCTAGCTGATTGCTGAGGACGGTAACAAAACAAACGACATCTGTCTAAATCTTGGGTTCAGCCTCGGTCCCCTACCGGTCAAGAACTCAAATGTCAGCCACTGTGGAGCTGGGCACCAGCCAAAACATCCAAAGCATCATACGCAGTGGCCTGAACTCAGGGGGTCTAAGGAGATCCGCATCGAAATCCTTATAGGCCTTTGCCTTGTGCCCTCGTCTTGTCCTCGTTTTCGGGTCATCGTGCTAAACGTGTTCAGCGCCGGCCGGCAACCACCCCAGAAAACCACTACGACGAGCACTACTACGACTATGCACGACGACGACGACTAAGAACCGGTACTGCAAGAGATACAGGACAAGTAGGAAATGACTCTTCCAAGCGAGACGGTCATCCCTACGACAATCGTCGTAATACGAATGCTGCATCTACAACTGGTGCTATTCTTGTAACAGATGCCAATCAGGTAGTTCCCCGAAGCAGTTCTCCCCCAAGCAGCTTTGGGGCATACGTCGACGTCATGGGCTTAAGAACTTGCGCTGCAATACGGAACATCTCTGAAACCATAAAGTTTCAGGTGCAACATGTCACAAGTTGCCAAATTTAAAAGCACGGAAACGCTGCATTCAACGTACTGACGCATGCCATGCCAAAAAGCAAGGTTGCTTGCAACGGCCACTAAAGACGAGCCGACGACGAGAGGCCATGATATGGGCGGATAGTGCGTAGCTAAGTAATCTACTAAGATGTCATTCATCCACCACTTTGCCCACAGGTCTGGCGGAAAGCGGAAAGCACTCTCAGCCGTCTTTGCAAATGTTCAGCGCGATGCGCTGTCTTTGCAAAAGGTCACCTGGGTTCTCAAAAACTCAAGACCTCACTGGCTTAAGTTCAGGGGGTTCTGATGATTCAGCCGTTAGAAAAAGTTGCTAGTAATGGCCTAAAGAATGAGTTCTTCCGCTTTTCTGTATACCCCGACAGCTCAATGCCCTTGAACTGACGAACATTTCTTAAGACATGGAACGGCCCCAGGAAAATTTCGTTCTTCAGGGTATGCGGCTTTCTCTGCATTGCCACTGTAGAACATATCCCACAACCCTGTCTACTTATTGATCTCCCTGGTAGCCCTAGTATTAATATCAGAAGTCAGTCGGTCATCTGCAAACTGTCACATTCCGATCGTCTAACTCCACAGCTGGTACACAAGAAGTTGACCCTTCCTGAACACGAGGATGTCAGTACAGGGGCACCTGTAACGAAAAACTCTCAAAGAACCGGCGCATCCCCACCAAAGTTTGCGAAACCCTCAGTCAAAACGCAGACACAAAGGTCCCTAAAACCCGAAACCCTCCAACCTGTTTTGCCTTGGCAACCATGCAGACCACGTGGCTAGCGCGTCTCATCTCCTCGGATAACTCGCCAACGTCGAGACTCTCCTTAGGAGCGATCTGGCTATCATGCTGGGGTGGCTTGTGCTCAGCAAGTTCAGTCTTGTGTTTGCTCTTGTTATGTTTGCTCAACGCAAAATCGAGTGTGTCTGTTGGTATGCTTAGGATTTGGGGGCTGCGGGCTAGTATGCGGCTTTTTTCAAAACCTTATAGAACCTAAACGCAAGCAGGTCTGATAGGTTACAGGTAACTGGTAGGGTCTAGCGCGGAGGGCTGTAGCTAAGTCTGACTTCGTGCAGATTTAGATCGTCCTTGAGCAGAACCGTCAGAACAAGTCGGCCCGAATTCCTCAATCTAACTGGGGATCCTAAAAAAAAGCCTGGAAATCCAATAGCCCCAAAGCTCGGGAGGAGCCCTGGGCCCTACTTCCTGAGGCTTTCCACAAGCCCTCAACCCTCAACTCCCCTGGGGGCCTGGAGCCTAAACTTTCATTGTCCTCGAGCCCTCAACTTGACCATCCCCTACCTATGCAACTGCAGGCCCAGGTGCCGTCATCGAGTCGACGCAACGACGCAAATCATTCCAAAAGGTGATGGCTAGCCTTTCAGCTGAGCATGTACGCCCCGCTTTTCCAAGGAGCCCTTTGTGAAACCGGTTATAACTTAAATGAACACAGCCGAAAACCGCTTGAAGCCGACAGATGAAACAAACGCAATCCAGCCCACTCTTCGACTCATCCTAAATCCTATAAAGCCGCAAGCGGCCCTGAAACGAAACGCGTCAACCGAATCCCCAACAACATCCCCCTCTCCTCCCCACCTGCCCCCCTCCCCCCCTCCGGCCCCCCCCACCTCAAATCTTCGATGGGCTGAACGCAGCAGGGGAAGCGCTTGCCCACATCGCTGCGGAACTGGTCTGCAGTTCCTGTATACTCCTGGGGATCTCTTGGGTTGGGCGCTTGCATTTGCCGGTTTTAAAAGTTCAGGGCTTCGGGATTGCTATTGCCTTTGGTTCGGTGCTGAGGCGATCTCGGAAAAGCAGTCCTCCACATCTCCTGTATGACTCGGGGTTTTTAGACATTCCCGGAAAGGAGAGATTCCACTATCCCCTTAACTAAGGTATATACCTTTAAGTCATAATAGGAAGGCCCCCAATAAAATAGACCCATTAAGGTCTATTCAAAATGTAGACAGGACCTTAAGGCCGGCTGGGCCTGGAGCATTCATCATTTTAAGGTTTTTGCAAGGTTTGGCATTGAGGCTGAAGGCCTACGGCTTCTGAAGGCCTAAGGCCCCAAAGCAAACTTGCAAAATGCAGGTTTACGGTTTAGGGAGGTGTTTCAGAAAACAGGCTCACCAACTTCAGAGTACCCGCTTCTTAAGTCGAGAAAGATCGTCAAACAACCAGCCGTGAACAAATCAGGTATGTGACTATGGCTGGACAATGCACACAGATCTGGAAGTTTCCAAACCGTCCAAGAATATTGGCAACACCCGCCTAGATCCTTAACCTAGCCGTGCAGCAAGGATGTCGGGTCAATCCACATTCTCCTCCCTGATAAGGATTTCTACAATCATCGTCCGACTCACATCATTCGCAAGAACACTTGAACGCAATCCCTCCCAGGACGAATCAATCCGAGGCTCGAGGAAATATTTCACCTCGGCGGTCGGGGTAGGGAGTTTGGGGGTTCCGGACTTTGGATTAGGCTTTTGGAATCTTCCTGCCGGAATGGAGGCATCAGGCTGTCGAGCCTTGGGAGTTCAGGCCTTCGGCTTTAACAAAGCACGCCAACGTCTGGTTCCCTAAAGCCAAAGCTAACGCCTAATCCTACCAATCACTCATATACCGTCAGTGTGAGGTGCTCTAAGCCGGGTCTGACTAGGGTTCTTCTACTAAGGGGGACGACCGAAGTTGGGGTGGGGGCCTGAATGCTTAGCGTCGAGACAGTGCATGCACATGGCAAGAATAAGAATGGGATATAAACACTAATCTGGAGGCCCCCCGCCCCCCCGTGCTTTTGAGTAGGTGGCCTCCACAAGGCCCCAACATGCCACCTAACAACTATGGAGCCCTCCATATCTTCCGCCCAGGCACTACAATGCCCATACATGCCCGGGGCAGCATGAATGTCGGCAGCTCTGCCGGGGTGCTCGGATAGTGCTCCTTCGCGTTGAGGGCTTGGGACTTTGGGCCCAGCCGCAATTCTCGGTTTTTGCGAAAGCTCCGAAAGGTGGACGCCTGCCGTGATGGGACTACTTTTCCGTTGATCGCTTTTCGAGTTTCTGGCATCTGGGATTAGGGTGAGCCTCCTCGTGGTCCTATTCTGAAGAGAAGCTTTTCAGGGACCTAGGCACTTCAGTTTACTGCCTTGGATTGAATCGCAGAAGCCGTGGAATCAAACTTTACAAAGGAAGCGAGCCACAGGACAGGTCATCATGTATCACCAGAGAAGCTGTATGGACAGCAAGATCAATCCTTCAGAGAGCTCCTGGAGGTCTAGGTTTAGAACAACTGGCAGCTGTCCGATGTTTCTGAACACCCGCCTTAGGTCTCGTATTGCAGGCGGAGAAAAACATCCCGTACTCTCGATTTCATCAAGGCTCACCCCTCCTTTGCTGAAGGCGAAGCAGGCACTTCAATCCTGAACCCTGGGCCCCGAAGCCCGACGATCGATCCTTCCTCAAGCCACAGAAGCCTCCCAGCCCACAAAGCCCCCCAAGGAGACAACCTCCGGTCCTTGCTGGGGGTGGCACACATGAAGCCCTTGGGAAGGAGCTTCACCTTTGAGAGGTCCTGCGGCTCTCGGGCTTTGCGCTTTAGGGCTTCGGGTTCCGAAGGGTTTTTTCATGGGTTGACGAAAGTCATCAGGGGGTTGCAGCCCTTGGGCTTTTGGAGTTATGTAAGGGTGTGACCAGAGCTACTACGGGTTTTGTAAGGGGTAGTGGATCTTTGTAGGGGTTCGGGGGCTTCAGGGCTCTGGAGTTAGCTGGATTTTATGGGGGTTAAGTAAGTGAGGACTATACTAATGCATTTATGGAGGCGCGTAGCGTTCCGGGCTAGAGGATTCCGGGCTGGTGCCATTGGGGTTTTAGGGTTTCCGATACTTCCCTGAAGGGTGTTCTAAGTGTTGTGGGGGCTTAAAAAATTTGACACAGGTCCCTTAGCAGATGAGGGTTTTGTAGCTCGCAAGGCAAAGATTGAATCTTAAGCCGCGGTAGAACTTTCAGCGCTCAACGCTATTCACGCGGACCACACAAACACACAATCCTGAAGAACGGAAGTCTTAAAGCCTTAACGGCAGTGTGTCCCGCTGAGCCCCATACTCTGACATCCCAGTGTGCAGCCTGACGCTATCTTCTACACTATTTCCTCACTCATGTTCCTTGCCCTCAAGCCTAACTTCAAGTCTTGCCGGTCCTTCAGCAGGACAGAAGCAAGAGCTCCTTCTACAAGCTGCCTCGCTTGCACTGGGGGTGTGTTAAGAAACGCAGGGTTACCACGCAGGGTCTGTATCAAGGGCTGCTACTTTCTGAGACTTTCGGGGCTTTTAAAGCCTTGCTGTGAGCTTGAGTCGAGGCTTGAGGCCTCAAGGGGTCCAGGGCTTGGAGTTGAGAGCTAAGGCTTGCTGATGCCTCGCAGGCAGGGAATAGAAGACTTCATGTGCCGCATAAGTAACCTTAAGAATAATTCCCCAGGACTGCTGTGGATCTTTGCACGCACTTAGGCTTCTGACCCTAAATTCCGAGACCTGGAAGATGCGGGCCTCTACTCAACAAACAATGAAGCCGTAAACCGACAAAAATCTGTTGAAACCCCGTGAAGGTTTACGGCTTCCTTCCACATTTGAGCCGAATCCGGGTTGTGCACCTCAGCGTCCGCTTGAGAGCTCGAACCAGGGCCTTAGCACAGTTTGGTGTAGATAGGATTGGGTCCTAAGTCTCAGAGTATATGGTCGAAGCGAAGGTTTGGGGTTTAGGGATTTGGAGCTCTTCTCATTCAAGGAAAATTCATTCCGATTTCCTAGGGGGAATGTCTGGAGACGTAGCCCAAAGAATTTCCAGGCCCGGCAGGTGTAGCTCAAATCTCAGTATCCGAACAAGCCTGCTCCTGTAGGCTGTCATCCTCACCTCTGAGTCCTTCACCCGATAAACCGAACCCCTCAGAGCGTTTGCAGGTCCTGTCAACTCCCAAACGCGAAGCTCTCTGAATGTGGGGTTTCAGTGAGCGGTGAGCGCTTCAGATTTGGTGTGCACCCTGGAGCGGAAACCCCAAAACGCCAAACCAATCTGAACCACCCCGCTCCCCCATTTCAAAACCCTGAAGGGCTGTGAGGACAGTCGGACATGGTGCATGGAATGCCGCAAGGTCGAAGTCCACATCGGAATCCCACATGACCTTTCCATGTCTGCACTTAGGACTGGCATCCTTGCTCTGATCGTTGTTCTTGCTGTTCTTCGTTCTGGGGCACTTGCAACCCAGCCATGATGATTACTGCTGCCACCGCAGCCACTCGAACCCCACATTGACATGTACATGGGCAAACTAAGTGTGTTTGCACTTGCATCATTGTCAGCGGCGGGTACATTCCGCGTCACAGGCTCGAAGACAGCAAACCCTGAACTCAAAATATCTGCACATTTTAGACTGTTGACACTGTGTTTGTGATCCTCGTCCACTCAAGAAGGGCACAGAGTGGGATATACCGCACAGGTTTCCGAATCCAAGGGGCATTTCTCAGTCGCATCGGGACGAGAGACATCCTTGGAGCCACGAGACTTTCGTGTTCTGCTTTTTGCGTAAAGGCATGGGGTCTTCATAGGGTTTCAAAATTAACAAGTAGGGTTTCTAGGGTTTTTATAGGATACTGAGGGCACGCTTGTGGACGTTCTTTAATGGATGACGGTACCGGGTTGACGTCTAAAGCGGAGGTTCCTGCTGCATGCAGCAGTTCTGGCGGGTTTGGGGTGTCAGGGGTTCAGGTGCCTGACAGGCCTCAAGGGTTTTCTAGCAGCTCGAGGGTCTCATGTCTGTCGAGGGTTCAGAGCGTGCGACTTTTTGGAGCCTGGCCTGGCCTTTCCGGACGGGAGCCTACATCTTCGGGCAAGTTCCTGAGATATGCCCGAACGACCCTTGAAGTCACATCCAGAGAGCCCAATAGCCCGTCATTCAGGACATGACTTTAAGTCATGACGGAAGTTTTTGTGCCAGGTAGGGTATACGCATTGTTCAAAGGTTACTGTGTCCTGAGAGCGAGCACTAATGTGGTTTGCTGTTTGGGTTCTGCAATTTAATATTATGCCTGGGGAAGATGCTTTGGATGACGAAACAGCTATCCAGCAGCGAGAGGCACGTTCAAAACGTCTTTGGCGGCCAAGTGTCACGCGGCACAACAGCATCTTGCCGCACACCTGCACAGTCAAGGCTTTTTGAGGCTGTGAGAAGAATCGGAACAAGGGCAGGTTCTCTGCTCGGGGTACTGAAGAGCACTGAAGAGAGCCTCATGCACTCCGGTGAGTCGCAAGGAGCCCTAACCAAGCTCTGAGATGCATTCTGGAATGCTCCATCGTAGCTGTAGTCGTGGGGCTCCACCCTTCAATGCAAAGCCCTCGGAGCCTGAAAGAGCCCGCAGCCCTTAAGCCTTAAATTCCTAAAGCCGTATTGGAAGGCGTATGTGCACGAAAGCCCACCGAAGAGAGCGACACACTGATGAAGAGGTGGCGAAGGCCTTCTCCGAATTCTAGGGAACAAAACGACAAGGCTCTGCAGCCTAGCCCTTCAAAAGAAATTAGAGGACTTCCAAGAAGGACGACCCGTTGCCTTATCCTTCTGTTCACCGGAAAGTGTTCCCGGGCGAGGGTAGCGGATCTCCTCCTGAGCGTTTACAGTGTGCGTGAAGCGCCTCTATTTCTAGCTCAAAGGAGAAGTCATAAGTAACTGGGTTGTATGTGCTATATTGGTTTAACTAGAGTCACCTTATTGTAGCCACAATCAGTTGCTATGTCCCCCGATCCATCAAATGGGGATTAGGGATTTTTTTAGGGAAGCTGAGCCCGGAATCCAAGACTCGCCTTCTAAACATGCGTCTTAGGGCCCCTGAAAGACCTGAGGAGTTAGGGGCACCGCGTATAGGGGTCCTTGTAGCAAGCGTTGGTTTTCGGCTTTAGGGTTGATCTCGCTATTAGCGGCTATATGAGTATGCTCACCTAGCAGCTGCAAGTCTATCAGGCATGGTGTCATGTGCCCACTTCTAGAAAGATGCAGATGCATCCGTCTCCATATCTAGAGCTCTGAACCTAACGCCTTTGCCAGAAGCTCTAGTTCTTCACACTCACGAGACCGCGGCCTACGATGCGGACGTACCTAATGTGCTCTCTTGTGGTAGTTGCAACTAACTCCTCAACAAGAAGCCTTTTTTTCGGAGCTAGAAAGCTTGGGGTAGGGTTTGCAACAGCTCTCCACCCTGCTTGAAGAGCCTCTTCAAGCATCCTTCTCCGAAACCAGATCGACAACCACAGCTTTTGATGTGGAAAAAGACTCGAAGCAGGAAGAACTGGGAGTTCTAGGTTCATCAGGATCCTACAGAATGCCTCTGTTGAAGGGCTCCTTTTGCTGGAACAGATTTTGAGGCGCGATCGCTCCTCCTGTAATGCTGATAGAAACTCTCCCTGACTCCCCAGTTCCCCTCTTTGTGGTTTCTATTGTTCGGACTTCGGTGCGAAGGCCTCATCCCCAAGTTTCAGGAATCACCTGGTCCTCCGAGTTTGGGGTATAAGGACGGGAGTGGAACGGTTTAGGATTTCAGGGCTTGGGACTTTGTGTTTTTGGCCTGGGTTTTACAAGGCTCAAACACTTTGCGGTTTGGCGTTCGCAGCGTTGGCCGCCTCGCGTTTGCGGTAGGATGGCACATTGTGGGGCGAAGGCGGCTTGCATTGTTAAGCAAGCGGGTTCCCCTGAAGGTACCTTTTGTAAATGAAAGTCCATGTTTCATCGAAGCCCCTGAAACAATCACAAAATGGAGCATACCTCCCCCGCACACATCTACTGAAACTTGGAGATGCATTGCATGTTGGTTGGAGGATCAAGAGATGCAGTGGGGGGTTTGAGTATCTTCTGGAGGGGCCCATGGCACTCTGCGAGCAGGGTCATAAGTACCGGTCTTGGGGGTCACCCTAGCTGCAGAATTCTGCCTTCGCTAACTAAACTAAACCACTGATCCAATTCTTAAACCGGAAAATTCTGAACCACAAATGACAAACTGCAAACCCTGAAACCATTGTCCAGCCTAGTTAGTTTCAGACAAATAAGTGTTGTTCCAGAAGAACGAATGCCGCCAAGGCTGCAGGGAAGGGCTTATCCTCCTGACACAGCTGGAAGTTAGGGCCAACAAAAACGACTGTCACTCGAGAAACCGAGGGGGGTGGGCCAGGGTGGGGTGTAGGGTGCAGGATTTTTGCCTCAGGTGAGGCCCCAATCAGAAACGGAAGATCCAGATCCTAATTCCCGGAACCTCGCTGCCGTCTGCGCTTAAGCCGTCGATTCTGGGGTTGTCTGGGAGTTGATCCAGATTCGGTGGTCGCGAAGTAGCGATAGCTACCCTGAGCCCTTTCGCAAGCTTTCACGCTTTGTTCTCAGGAGATTAGGAGCCTCGCAGACACTCACCAATGCTTCTGAGAGCCGTATCCGTATCTGCCAGTATATAGGTACCAGCCGAAGCCTCGACAAAAGCCTGACTAAATTCAGGCCATGATCCCAACCCTGACATGATGATGGACGCCCCTCATGTCTGCTGACTTGGCCCAGGGTTCGCTAGAAGCCCAGAATCACACCGACATTTAAAAGGAATCCGGAGGATGAGAACTTCTTTACGTATTATAAAACACCACAGACACTTCCTCTAATCCTAAGGACATCCCAGTCAGCCCATCACTCGGTGCTTTGCATCAATCCGTGGCCCGAACCCTGGTGCCAGTGATGTAGGGAAGGGCGGAAGAACAGAGTTTAAAGCAGTTTCTTCAGGGTGTGAAGCAGGGATGTTGCAGTCATTGCAGTCTCGAAACTTCTACAGGGGCTTAACAAACAGGGAACGAAGGAAGCCTTTCACAAGTTCAAGGGAGCCAAAGGAACAACAACGAGCCTAAAGTTGAGCCCGAAAAGCCAACAAAGAGACCCGGGCCTGTGCCGGCTCGTAAGGCTCGCCCGAGAGGAGTCCGAATTTCATGAGCTCCAAGGCTATGAGACCTGGGATCAAACGCCAGATCGGCTGAGGTTTAGACAGCTCGCCACATCTGCATCTCGGAGCCCCCGCGCTTCCACACCAAATTAGCCTTCGACTTGGATTTCTGAGACCCGAAGCGGGTCCACTTTGCTGGTAAGGCGCCCGGCTCGGTGAGAGTGGCCGGAATCCTGGGAATTTACGGCTTTGCAGGTTCTAGATTCTAGATTCCAGGTACTTGGTGCCTTCAAGTTTGAGGTGTGGGGCTCAGGCCACGGGGTTGCTTGAGCGTTTGGTTCTTGCCAGTTTCTGGCTTCGGGATGTTCCATGCTCTGCATCAACAGTTCAAGATAGTTCAAGACTCTGCAAGACCCCTTGATCCGAATTAGCCACAACTGTGGTATCAGGGTCCTCAGAATGAGCATGCTGATGCTCATAGTCACACTCGTCATACTCATGGCCATGATGGCTCCACTAGAAAACCAACGTCGCTCGCAGTAACGACCAACGACAAGAAGAAACAAAAAGAGCCCAACACCCTGGACAAGAAACACAGGCGATATGTTTCGAAGAAAACGACAATCGCCTTCACCGACACCATGAACCACCACTACTGAGACCTTCATAGAATTGAATACGAATATGGAATTCCAAGCGGTTTACCTCAACACCGCTCTGTAGGAAGAATGGCGGCACAACACTACTGGTTCGCAGGGTTTGAGCAAGGTTTGGGGAGGGGCCACTGGGAGTCACACTGCATTGCCGGGCGTCTGTTTCAGAACATCGCTCAGCACCGTCGCTGCTCCATCGTCGCTGATGAGTTCAAGCTTCTCCTCTAACATTCGGAGTCCAACAGCCCGAAATTCAGTAATAGAACATGATCTGCTGTGTACAAGTTGAGGAGTACCGCTTGGTTAACGGATACGGGGCTCTCTGGGACGGGTTCATGCGGCTTGAGAATACGAAGAAGTAAAAGTCCACTCCTCGGACCCTGCATCTTGGGACGTTTCGTTTTCATGCGAGAGTCTCTGAAAATACAACCCTTCATCCCTCCGAAAAACGCAGCATAATTAAGCGCTCGGTGCTTCGGGTGATTGCTTTTGTTCCAGAGGTCAAGACACCGGTCTTACGGGGCCCCTACAACAAGCCCCCATGCGGCTCCAGGACGATGAAGTGCACCAGCGTGGCCAGCGAAGACATGTCCGGATCGCAAGTGGGTGGCGCGTGGTCCTCAGTCGACTCTAGTGCTCAGGGTCTTTCTCCCTCTCCCAGTGTGGGTCAGGATTGGCGAAGTGTCGGGTTCACTTTTCGCGTGCTGAGCACTCCCGATTTAGCAGCTTGGCATCGGAAGCCTGGAGAACGCGATGCAACTCCTCGATTCGCGCCATCAAAACCACGAAATCACCTTCCGCCTTAGCCTGAACCCTCCAATTTTTGGGTCTGCGAGCGCTGAGCACTTCCATGCTGCGGAATCATAGGTACAATAGACCCCGCAAAGGAGTGACACTACCATTAACTAAGGATCCCAAACTCCTCGACTTGGTGATCGCACCGAGGCTCCACCAGATCTCAGACGACCCGGAGCCTAAAACCGTCACGTGACCTAGGTACTTCCAGCACCAGCGAGCCAGCCCTCTTCCCGATTCCCAAGCCTCAAAAGCCTAGAACCCCAAATCCCAACTCCCAAAACCGTAAACCCCAAAGTCTGAACATAATCCCAGGCCCAGCGCCTACGTCTCAACCCTAAACCGAAACCCCCAAAGCCCGACATCTCCCAAATCACCTCGCCAGGCGGCGGTGAGACCTTTGACCAGGTTGCCTTCGTTCTCGAAGTCCTGGGGGAACTTCCCAGTTCGGTGCGGCTGGAGCTCAAGCCGAGACTTGGGAAGGGTTATGTGGAGTTTTCTGCATGTATGCAGTTGGGCAGGTAGGAAGGTAGGTAGGCAGGGTGGCATATGCGCTGTATGTGCATAGTTAAAGGTACATGCATACACACATAGATATGTATAGTGGTATAGCTGTATATGTGAGATGTTGTCAACTCGTCATCTCAAGCGAGACAAAAGGCCCTGAGACCTCTTGACTTCAACACCTCCACCTTGGCGTTCGGACTTAGGGGCCTAGAGGCATTCAAAGAAAGCATCACAATTGGGAAGTTCGGATTTCAGGCCTTAGCGCCGTAGGCTTCAGTGTACTCGGGTAAGAGTGTTGAGGGATTTGGGGTTGAAGGTCGCGAGATCGCTGGGCAATGCCGATTTCATCGCATCCGCTGCCACGAAACCCCACTCTCCAGGCCCAAACCAGTAGTGCCGACAGGTTTAGGGCATGACGTCACGAGGGATGCCAGGACAGGCACAACCACTGTTCGGAGCCTGGAGTTCGTTTTGAAACTCAACCCCGGAGCCGCTCAATCTCCTCATCTCCATAAGCCTAGGGCCCTAGATTCTACAACTTGTGCAACTAAACCCTCAAACCTGAAACCATGTCTGCAACCACAACTTCCGACATCTAGCTCGGAAGGCAAGAACAACGGGTTCACGATTTAGCTTTGCAGTCCTGAATAAGACATTGGCCACCCAAAAAGCCAGACCATGTCGAAAGTATCTGTACCCGCATGCAAGACCCGAAAACACCAACCTCCGCGCATGTTCCGGGTCTGTCCATGCGAAGCACTGTTGAAACTTCAAGCTATGTTCTTGCTCAGAAGCTAAAGCCGATAAACCCTTGTTCCATTGCCAAGAGAAGCCTCGACCGTAATCCGCCAGCCCTCGGCCCCACACCTTCTACCAAAGCTCTAAAACCCTAAACCCTAAACCTTGAATAGGAGAGCAGCCTCACTGGTTGGCAGGTGCCGCACATACAACAGAATTCTACAACCCGCAACCCCGCACTCTCATCACTAAGCTCTGCAGCCAAGGCTCGTGGGCATGCCAAGTCAGGCAAAACTTGAAATCGACTTTGTCGACTCCCTGTCTTGCCATCTCCGCTTTCACCTCGTACGGTTTAGGTGTAGGGCTACGGTCGAAGGTTTGGGACTTCCTAGGGCACAAGGTCCTTTCTGCCTTGTAGAGCTGTTTTAATGCTCTTCTTCTGGCATTGTACAGCTGCTAAATTTATTCTGGGCAAACAAAGCGCCTGACCCAGGTTTCGGAAGGCTCTTTCTAAGGGTCTCGTGGCTCTGGGCTCCTTCTGGGCTCCATCGGGTTTCTGCAGCTTTCTTCAAAACAGTGTTACGGGTCTGTGAGCATTACCTTTATTGATGGAATGGGGATCTTTACTCAGCACTTCGGGATGCAAAGGGCGTTCCTGCCTTTGCCTTGTTGGTTCATCAGTGAGCCTGCAGGAATTGAGTTGAATGGGTCTTCAGGGAATTTCCATGCGGTTTCTGAGGGTTCACTGCAGGGTACCTACCCTAAGCTCCAAACCACGTGCTGGAAGTTTGTGCGCAAGTGGTTCACCTCTGTCATGTTTCAACCATGCCGTTGCGCTAGGTGCATGACCTTGTTAAAGTCCGTACCGATATTCTGAACAGGGCCAACATAACATTGAACACCTCCGAACTAACGAAGTAATAGGTCCAGTTGGCTTGGATATGGCTGCTCGCATGATCTGCTCAACTCAGGAAAAGCATGCACCATTTCGGCATTTCTCATCTCTAACCCGATTTATTTGCGACTCTTCAATCCCTTCCGCTCGTGTTCACTCTTTGTAACTGTAGCACAGATTGAAACCCAGCAACACTCACGTCTTTTGCCACCATCCCTGAAGCTATGCCGAGTGCTTGTAGCCCTCAAAGGGGTTGTCCTAAGCCTGGGTTCTTGTGAAGAAACCTTTTCAACAGTTGCCAAAGTGAGGACACGTAGTAGAGAGTATGCTTTCCTTTTCCATGGCGACGAAAAGTTCCTCAACAAGAATGCGGAAGTTGCGGCCAGGCTTTCACGCCATCACACGCTTACTTGCTTCCTCGAGGAGGGGACTCTACACAAACCCGTGCCTCAAAACACCCTAAACCCCAAACTCCAGCAAACCGAAGACAGGATCTCTTTCAGGGATCCTTGGAATGAGGCACTCTTGAGTTATGTATCGGAAAAGGAACCCCCCTCACCCTAATTCGCCAAACTGAGATCCCTAAATGCTTTAAGGTCTCGGATTTAGGCTACACCCTGAACCAATCTGGGCGAGGCGCCGCGTTTGCCTTAATCCTCCAGCAGAGTCCCTGCCTGATCTCCTTTGTTGAAGCTGAGGCGCTTACGGCTTATGAAGTTTTGCCAGCCCCGAGAATTGGACCTTGAATCCCAGACATTCGGGCTTGGCACGTTCAATTTCAGGGCTCTTCAGCTCGAGCAACGACTGAAGCGCCCTAATGTCTGCGAAATCCTGAAGCACCCCAATCCTGATCCCTCGTCGTTGCTGCTACTGCTGCTGCTGTTGCGGCTGCTTCTGCTGCTGCTGCTGCTCCTGCTGCTGTTGCTGCTGCAGCAGTAAGAAGAAAATACTTAATTATATGAAGACATAAACAAATCGACAGGTCAATGTTTTCGTGTATATGTGTATACACACAATCACACAGCATTGTAATTTGGCGCCGAACGGTAAGCACCCTCTGAAAAGCCGATAAGTCGCTGAAAGCTTTATTGGTGATCCCTTCTGGATTCTGATAGATAGCCACCTCTTGGAATCTTAATGTTCTCATCAGTGTTACCTTCCCCGAAGCCCAAGACCCCAAACCCGTCTAAATCTGAAAGCTGCAAGCCCAAAGCCTTTTAGAGCCCCTGTAAAGTATAGAAACCTGTCTGGAACCCTCGCAAGGAACCCTAGAAGGCACTTATATAACTTATATAGAACCCTTACTACAAAGTCCTTATGAGGAAGCTGCTTTTGCTCAGCCGAGCCACAGGCTGAATGAGCCGCGCCTCCTTCGGGAGGTTGGCGTCGCTGCTCAGCGCCTGCGACGGCACCGGTTCAAGCTTTTTGATTTTGGGGCCGGGAGGGAGCAGCGGTACTACAGGGGTATATCCTGCTAGAGCTATACTGAGCTATATGGGGACTCTTCCTAACTGTGGAGGGCCCCTATGCTTAGCCCTGTTTACAATGCTTTAAAGGTCACACACTCAGTCTGAGAACTCCATGGATCCTCCCAGTAGGACTGTGAGGCCCAGAGCGTTGAGCGAGAAATTCAGGCCGCACCAACAAGGCGTCTGGGAGGCTCGGGGGTTCAGGTAGGGTCTGGAAGAACTTTGGAGGTATTGGGCTTCCTGCAGCGCTCTCGTTTCAGGATACTTCGGGGTTCAGGGCTTCGGGGCTTCAGGAGCTACGCGATTGAACTTCTAGGGTTCAGAGCTCTCGGTTGCGGAAACATAATGGAGCAAGCGCCCAAATTCCGAGACTAGCCGGCCCCGACATACATCCCACAGTTTTTGAACCGTCAAGAGCGCATTTCAGGGAGCCCGGTAGCACCAAAGGGCCTCAGAACCAAAACGATCACGCCCCTGAGCTCTTCACACGGTATGAGGGCTGTACTAATTTATGGTCCAAGGCTGGAGTGGTGCCCAGAACTCAACCACTGAAGCCGACATCATAGGATCCTTTATCCAAAAGAAATCGACGAACCTCCCGTACAAAGCAACACGAACAGCGAATAACTTTAACCCTAAAAGCCCACCCAGAAACCCTCTCCCACCTGGCCTGTCGGACCTGACCAGACTCCCAGAAAGCCTGCCCCATTTTGCCAGCTCCAGGCTTTTAGGTTTTGCGGTGCAGGGCTCTAGTCCGGGCTCTAGGGTTGAAGGGGTTGAGAGGTTCTAGGGTTGGCTTAGGTTTGAACGGGCTCCCAAGGTTTGGCGCCTAAGGGTTCTAGATGTTGATATGCAGTAAGCACTCTGTAAAGTGGTTCTTCGCCTTTAAGGCTGAGGGTACAATGGGACACGTGAGTCAGTTCGTCTAAGAAGTCTAAGCTTGTATCTTCTCATTGTTGCCACCATCGCGGTTATCACCGCAGCAATTTCTATTGGAATTGGCTCGGAGCTGTCCATCTAACAACCTCAGAATCTGTGCTTGAACCCCTCTTCCCTACGGAAGAAGGCCAGTCCTGACGACTGGCAGACTCTCGTCAAGCTGTTGATTGTAGCCATGCTCAACTCGTAGAAATCACAGCCTCCAGCCCCCAAACCCTGTGCTTGCCTGACGCACGAAATCTTCAAACTCTGCAAAACACTTCAACTGCAAATTTTCGATCGCAGGCACTGAAGCCCAGGGCCTGACAGAACGAATCCCGGCCCGCGCCTTGCACAAGATGTTCTTGTTGTGGAAGCTACCTCGTCTGCAGGGAGTAAGGCCCAGGCGTACTGGAGGGAGGGTTCGGGCAGGGTGCCTCGCTTTATTGACGATTCTGTAAGAGCAGGCCTTGAAACACTCTAGCCTGCAAATACATCCCCAAATCTGAACCCTCAAATCTGGAAGCCCTCAACCCTCTAGTCCTGAACCCAGCATTCTGAAACCCTAACTTTGCACTCCTCTGGCCGAGAGTCGATGCAAATGCTGCGCGATCAAGCCCAGGGCGACTTTCCTCCGGCTTAACGGGCTCAGGGAAGACCTTTGACTAAGTAAGTCGAGTGTATAAGGTGTTAAGGAGCCTGCAGGCGGGGCTTTACGGCTTGGGACTGGACTTTAAGATACGGCTCCAAGTAGGGCTCACAGGCTTTACCAGAGCTCAGGGTTTCAAGTGGAGTGCAGGGTCTTCCGGGGCATTTGCCAGGGTGCTCCATGGGCACAGGTACCCATGTGGGATATATTGCAGATGGGTCTTTGCTGTGTCTGCATCTGAAGCGGTTTCCAACTGCTCATTGTTCAGGAACCTTTTCAGGGTTCCATTCACGCAAAACCCTTGTGAATCATCATCATCATCATCATCAGCATCGTCATAAGAATGGGTTCTCAGACCCCTAAACCCTAAACCCTAAACCGTGCAGTTAGAGGGCCCTCCCTTACCCTCGAACCCCCCCCCCCCCCCCCCCGTTGTCCGCCCCAAGCGCCTGTATTCCTGCAGGTCCCCTAGGATCCCGCGGAACCTGAGCCAAGAGGCACGCTTTCTTGCGCTTTGTGGTCTTTGGGCCTTCTTTGCGTTGCCAGCATTGAGGCTCCCAGGATTGTGGCTTTCAAGACCTGCAACCCTCAAGCTTGAACCCCTAAACTCCCTAAACTCAGTGAGATGTCGTGGTCAACACTCCTGTGGATACACCAAGGTAGCCAGGTCCGGAGCCGCTCTGAACTCGAACGAGGCCTACATCCTTCCCTACCAGGGCGGTCACAGTACCTGCAGTGGGTATTTACAAGTGTTTTCTGGGTCACCCATTGATAAATCTGGGTCGCCAAACCTCGGTGACTTACAGTTAGAGTTCGGTTGTACGTACTGAGCTAGGTTCTGAGTACCCAGAACTTCGAGGTCGGAACTCCATGGAACCGGTCAGAACTCTCTGCGACACAACGAGTCCAACGTGCTAGAACTGATTGAAGTTTAGGGAACGTGCGGAGAAACAAGGTTGCAGGGCTTAGACCTGGTGAGGCACTTGCATGTTGGTGTAAAACTTGGAGCCAAGGCCACCAAAAACTGATGATTTGCAACCCCACATTCTTGCCTTGATCGCCTAACCTCGAATCCATGTGCTACCTTTTCACCTCTCAACCCTAAACAGACTTAACCCGTTGAATCATCTGGGACACAGTTCCCAAGTCAGAGCTCAGGATGAATTAAGCATTAAGGGCCTGAATAGCTTCATGCAGGGACCAAGTGTCATCGAAAGAGTCGTAGCGGTATTCCTAGCCCTTAAGATAGTTTTTGGTACATAGTGCCTCGATACCAGTCTCATTGCTCCAGTCGAGGCACGTCTGCGTGCTAATACTCATAATACCCGCTCGGAAATCCAATGTATCTATGCTATACTAGGTCACACCGAAACCTTGTTCGAAACTTTGCTAGGGCCCGATTGTAGATAGCTCATTCGTCCACCTGCCCTTCACGTGTCGTGGGAGGGGGGTGAGAACTCATGGGGGTTGAAGGGTTGCAGCTGAAAGTCACCCGAAACGAGCTATCAGCAGGTACCTCACTAAGACCATCAAGGAATTTCAAATCATATTGTGTTGCCATCTAGGTTTCGGGGGTCTAGATGGGGGCTTTCCATCGAGGCCGTGAAACTCCGAAGTGTCAACCAGCGGTTGCGACTTGTCCGTCCACTCGCCTTTGGCTAACGCCTCCGAATTGATGGGCTTAGTGCAGGAGTTTTGCCGGAAGGGTCACTTTGCCTGTAACTCCACTTGCTTTACCTACCAACTCCACGAGTTCTGGGAGTTTATGCGAGCCGGTGGTCAAGAATGGACGTGTTCAGTTTTTGCATTCTAAATGGGGCTTCAGCACCCAGTGCGAAAAGGGGGAGAGCAAGCCAGCCTTCCTGTCCTAGTAGCTGCAGTTGGATTGGAGGGCTTGTGAAGATGAGTTTGTGCTTAGTTGTTCGGTAGGTTGGGCCTTTCAGCCGCGGGGCTGCAGGGCTTTCGGGCTTAGACATTAATTGTTCTGTGCATCATACTGTAAGGAAAATGACGTGTTTCGCCTGGACGAGAGGAAGGCAAGGCACTTGCACAAAGCAAGACGAGGAACCGATGCAATCAATGCCCAAGCTTTTAGGCTGAAGCACTGCGGGTTTTGAAGCCTTTGATCGATCATCTGAACACGGGTTCTAGCTTGGGGGATTGGTGCACTTTGTAAGTTGGGCAGAAAGAACAAGAAGGTACTGGAACTAAACACCTGCACTACTATTCTCCAGGCTTACCACTTAACCGTAAGGATGAGAACATTACAGCTGCGAAGACGAAGAGCACACCCTGCCTGCGGCAGTTTGTGCGAGATGACTCCGTGCAGCATCAGGTAATACCTCGGCATCCCTGGCTTCCCTTGGCCTCATCCCACTTTGGGAAGACGACTTAAGGGTTTCTGTAGGGTTTCTTGCCTCTTCTTCTCTCTGAAAACCAATCGTTGAGGCTCCTGCTGATTCCAAAATAACTTATAACAACTAAGAACACCCCTCAACCGAACAAAATGGCCGGGCACTGGTAGCTTTAACTAGTGGCTTACGACCGTCGCCAAGCTTTGATAGAAGTCCGAGGACTGTGCCTTCATTGCCCATCCCCTAGGTTTTCCAGCCGAAGAACCCCGAAACCCAACACTCGAAAACTCTAAAGCCCGCCAAACCAAAGGTCCAGGACACAAGCTTGGTGGCAACTTTGCACCCATGATGAGGGAGAAGTCGCCAGGAATTTGTGGCCTCGTTCCGTCACAAAGCTTGGCTGGCAGTTTAAGATTTCGGGAACACCGGCCACTGCCCTAATCATGTTGAGCTGCCCTTGAAACCGTGAAGCCCTGAGCCTTGATCCCGAAGCATCCAAAACCTTGCAGTTGAAGTAAAGGTATTCTTTTATATTATTTTGCAAGCATGTCTGTTTTGGTCCAGTTCTTCCCAGCCTCAGCTTAGCCTGGGCCGACTGCAGGGCCATACTACCACGAAAAGTTTACAGGCCACTGTCCGAGCTGAGATCCCAATAAATAGAGAGCCTTTCAATCTTAGCTGCCTCAAACGCTCAACTAGATTCAAGTTTTGTTCCACTCAGCTGAAAAGTTGACCATCTTCGACCCACTTCAAGAAAAAACGGCGCGTAGTTGTCTTGCTTTGGCTGGCGATTGTTAAATCCGTGGATTCTTAACTATGTGAGCTCCAAACAGATAGTTTATACTACTTTCGCGGCCCGGGCCGCCAAGTCTATTTGTGGTGAACCTGTGGTCTTTCAACATGCAGAAAAATTACATAGAACTCTTATAGTAACCTCCGTGGTCTTGGCCGTCTGGCCGCCCTCCAGTCATTCAAAAAGTGTCACCGCAACATCACGGGGAGGTTTACCAACTAGAACAGTGAATTAGTGGGCTCCAGCACCGGTTGTGAAGGCAATGCCTCAGAATAGGGACCACAACATCAAGAAGCTCGAAGTTTTAATCAGAGCTTCTTAGATTGCGGGCCCTTACAGGAACCACAGACGTCATCCAAAGTTCGCAAAATTCGGCAAGAGCCTTAAACCAGAAACTACCTTGACCCGCAAGCCCCTGACTTCCGGAATGTTCCTCAAGCTTGAGTGGGATCCACAGATACTCAAGAAGGAATCGTTAGATAAGGGAGAGTGGAGCCCGATCCAACATCCTCAACCACAAATTGAGCCCAGGGACGGTGAACCGCCGGGTCTACAGGCGCCCAGCGGCCGAATCGCGTGATCCTGCATATGGGCAGTTCTCGAACTTAACACAGGGGCTGAATAATTAGAACAATGCTTTTGGGCGAGCGTTTATTGTAGACTATAATGTAATTCTTCCCCTTGCTATGGTCGTTACCGTGAAAGTCACGTACTGCGATGGGCATCACAAAGTGGCCCAAACTTTGATGAGACTTCTGTCCGGATATGGCGGATTAGCTACGGGACGCCTTGCGGGTCCAGTAACCAAGTCTCGTATTCTGAACCTAAGAACCGGAATCTTTGAACCAAAAAGGTGAAAGATTACTCACTTGGCTACAGCGGCTTGCCGAAACGCAGAGGCCTGTCGTTTCGTGACCCTCAACCCAACACCCCTGAACCCCGAAACCATGATCCCCCAAGCCTTTGCGGGTCCCAAAGATATGGAATGGCTGATCTTTCTCTTCAGAGCTAACTTCAAAACTCGCCGTGGGTAGATTACCCTCCAGTCGGTTTAGCAGTCTGCAGACTCAAGACATGAAGGGCTACACTAATCGAAACTCAAGTGTTCGTATCCAGCGCTGTCGTTGCAAGCTGATTACTAGGCAAATCGGCCCAAAGAGGTTTGAAGGCTAGCGGATTTGGAGTGCAGGCTGGCCTTGAAGATCCGAAGCTTAGTTTGGCTTTGGCTTGAAACTGCTTCCTAAACCCTCGACCTCCTGGAGTCCTTATCATCAGCTTCGTGGTCAGTACTAACTTCTCCTAGTGAACACGAAGCTCTTTGCATCTGCCCAAGCCGGGCTTGACGTTTGCACGACCAAGCTCCAACTGCGCATGCGGATCAACACCTTCACGATCACACCCGTGGGATTTAGCCCGGGCGCTGGCATCCGCGAACAAGAATGCATCGAGAACCCCCCAAAACCGAAGGGGGTCTCACTCGACATGCCAAAATCCTGACTGGACTCCAAACCTGAAGCGCATAAGCAACAGCCTCGGATTAATACCCCAACATGTGTTGCGAAACAGCAATGGGCAAACCGCCTTGCTATCACGCATCATTCAATTTGGCTGGGACTCGCCTATCGCACAGTTCGGCCAAATCCACAAATCCAAAACCCCTAAAACAAACTAGGGCTTTGTCCAAATGTCATCCCTGCTGTTTTGGGGCCTGCAGATGGAGGACAGGCGAATTTTGCACCTCGAGGTTTTGAGCGTTTTGTGTGTGTGTGTGTATGTGTGTGTGTGTGTTTGGGTTTTGTCGCTGTTGGGCTTGAGGCCTAGGGCGTGCAGTGGTGGTGTGGGTGCTGGGGATTGAATTTCGGCAACGCACCTTTTCTCTCAATAAGCGATCTCACAAAGTTTCTGGATACGTTGCGGTTGCCTCTAACCTGTCAACAAACTAGAATCAAAGAAGGTTTGGGATGTGGTTCAGAGTCATCGTTGCCACCAGAAGCCTGCGTAGCTCTAGCTGTAAAGACTTTTAATTTAAGTAGCAGTAGCGGGCTTCGGCATGGAGTCTTTGATATTGGTGCTGGCTTCGGAGCATTGGAGATAACTTGCTCCTTGCCACGGAAGTTATTTCGCGTCACAATAATAAGAGGGATACATGGTACTTCCTTAGAGCATGATCAGCTCTCCTTGACATGTCAAGCTGGATTAGGCAGTCCCCTTCACACAAAACCCGGATAAGGGTTCAGGAACTCACGAAGGCCAGCGCTTCTTCCGGTCGAGGTGCTAACACCTTGCAGATGCAGTAGCCGTCCGCATGGTCCGTCTTCCTGAGCTTGCTTGTTTGGGGTCCGGGTTCAGAGCTCAGGGCACCTTCCATGCATGTAACCTCGCCTGGAAGCCACAGGTGCCTGGTGGAAAAATGCGGGCATGGGCTTTGCTTTAGCAGAGATGTGGGCCTGGGCTGCGAAGGTTTATGGTTCACCTGGAACCCTAAGTTGCTGTCACCGTGGACTGGTTGATGTCTTGGGGAGACGGTGGGAGGCCTGAGCCATGGCAGTGTTGGGGGACGTGGGCGTTGCCCACTAGTTCTAGTACCTTCCTATCTCGAAGGTCATTCTACTGTTTCTGAAACCCCTCTCAACGGAGCAGATCCAAAGCTTCCAGATAGGCCAAAGAGGACACACACGACAATAACATGCGGAAATCACCATCCGTCGGTGACTTCTTGCAAGCAGGAGGGTGCTGCACAATCCCACCCTCCGTCCCTCAGCTAGAGTCTCAAAGGGCTTGACAGGGGTAGTTGTATAGGTCGTAGCCGAACCCTGAACCCCAAACTCGAAACCCTAGTTCCATGCAAGACGCATCTCCTCCGTGGGAAATGTCTGCATCCAGTTAATCAGCGGCGCCTGCTTAATAATGTACCTTGGTTCCGAGTGGCTGCGTGGCATTGCAGGGAAGTTTAACCTTTCATAGACGCCTTAACGCTAGAATTTTGGGCCGTGCTAGCCCGGGCCCAGGGTGCAAAGCTGGCTTGTCAACCTGGGGGCCCAACTCTACAAAGCCACCAACAATTGAGACAGAGCTTGGGGTGGTGGGTGAAGGGTACGGGCATGTATGCTTCGGCGGTATTGTCGTTCATTGCAGCAGTTTCAGCGACGGCTTTGAGGCGGTCTGGTAAGCTACGCAGGATGGCAGTAACCAAGTCTGGTGAACTCTCATCCCAAAGCAAAATCGCGACAGTTTTCGGCACGACCTGGCAATCAAGACCACTGCTCCCGAAAGAAGGATCTTTACAGGCCGTAGTATCCTCCACCGGATTTTCAGAGGTGCCCCGTATGAAACACGTTGCGAAGCCTCACATGCCCCTGAATGGAAGCTTCACATCTAATCGTTTGGACTCTAGCAGGCTCCAGCCCTCTGCCTGAATTGCGATCCCAACTGCAAAGAAACACTTGCAAAGCATAAACCTGCAATACCTACGTCGGGCAATCACTCAGAGAGCAGGAACACAAACCGAATTAAGACCCACAACATCAAGAGACATGTTGATACAACTTCAGACATTGCCACGTTCAGTCTCAGTTGCACTGCCGCCTCGAAGTTAAAGCGGGCTTGCGTAGCAGGCTGCACGGGTGGCACGCCGCCACCTCCTCAGCAGCTTGGCGTGTTTAGGGTGAACGTTAATTCTAGGGCAAAGAAGGCTGTAGAGGGTTGTCCAGACCGTTCCTTGCTACCCCTGGAAGCCTTCTGTAAAAGATTCAACAACAGATCCGACACACATATCCCGCAACCCACAATACGACCCTCATAAACCCCAGGGAGCGCAGACACAAGCGGTTCCAAGGGCCGTTCCCTGGCCACAAACAAGGTTAAAAGGAGGACTACTGACTACAGAGACCTGGGCCTTCGTGTGCTGATTATGCTCTGCAGACTCTACTGGGGCTCTTGGGCTGCATAGTTTCTAGGTGTTTGGAGGGTCGGGGGCTCTTGCTGAGTTTATTTCGAGCACCTTCTGTGGATCCTAGGCACACATCTTTCATGTAGGCGAAAACGGGTCTCAAGGGGTTTGGGGCTTGGGGTTTTGGCTTTGGTCATGCTACTTCATGAGACTCCGCAGGGCCTTGACTCATTTCTTCGCCATATCAAAGTAGTACTTCTTGTGCCGAAACCCCATACCCGAAAGGGATCTCCCTCATGACAAAACGTTTGGAAGCTCCATAGTTCTTCGAGAATCAATGCGCTTGGCCCTGAACATCTTCCAACCCAAGGTCTGGGGTTTAGGGGGTTTAAGGTGTTAGGAAGTGGGTTGTAGGAAGGTTGAAGTTCAGGAAGGATTTAGGGCTTCGGAGTCTCAGGGCTTAAGGCTGAGATCTCAAGCTCTTAGGGGGCGGGGGTCGAAGCTGGACGAAGACACGCATGAGACCCCATTCCTGACCCTGTGCTACTTGGCCCCAAGCCCTTCAACCTCGTTGTACACATCCAAGCTGCCCAAATTGAGGTAAGGGTACGTGAGACAATACTCCGTCCCTGCCAGCATGCAAGCATCGACCTGGGTGTGGCGGTCTGTTGCATCTGCTCATTTGTGGACCCCGGGAAAGGATCCCCGCTCTTTTTGGAGAGGGGGTAGGGTCTAGAGGCTCAGGGATCCGTTTTCCGACATAGCCCCTCAGTCTTGAATTTTTCTGTTGCTTTGGCTTTACAGTTTCGAGTCTAAGCTTGGGTCAGGGACGTTGTGAAATGGGCAAAAGCCGCATCGCAAAGTCCAAGCTTAAGCTTCGCCCCGGTGACCCCGGTCCTACATCCTTGCAGGGTCAACCGACTTGGCAAGTCAGGGCGAAATCGGCGGTCTAAAGCGCTTTTGGGGCTTCAGTGGCCTTCACCAGCAGTCTAATGTTTGCGGGATTCATACATGTAAGATTACACATATAGTCTTCTGCTCCTGCAAAGTTGTTAAGCAACATTCTTTTGACGAGTCCCAGGGCCCCGTCAAGCACCTCAGCGTACCCCCTGTGTTCTTCTGAGACCCTGGCTCTTTTTACCCCCGGCTATGGCTAATCTCTATTTAAGCCAAGGGCCAAGGGCTTTGGTTGAATGAGGGTTAGAGTGGGCATCTTGGAAAACCGACACGGAAGTTCCGTCGACTAGGTATGTGCTTCAGGGATTAGGACATCGGGCTTGGCCGTATTACCCGTTCGAACCGCCCCGTTGCTGGGGTGCGTGCGAACTCATCCCAACCTAAGTTCCACTTTGCAAGCACGCTGTCCTCGCGAGAGTGCACCGGGGAATGCTCTCAGTAATGGTTCCTTTGAAGCTGGCTAACTGTCTCTAGTCGTTTTGCATCTATCTGTCTGGAAGAGGTCCTCACATATTCTTGCGGAGAGTTTGTGGGAGGCACGGCATAGACAGAAAGCTGGAACTCTGCCAGGTACTGTAGAAGCTATACAGCTACACCATAAGAGACCCCTCAAAGACCCCGAAGCCATCAGGCTGAGGGCCCTTCGGAAGGTCTCTACTGGGCCGTGCACTGGCAAGCAGCACGGTGCTGTCCATGTTGGTATCGAGGCTCTGCAACGAAGGCAAGGGCCCGGTAAAGTGACTCAAGGGGTCTCGCTTACTTACGGACAACTCGGCAGCTATCACACCGGTCGTTCGAGTGAGCGCCCTCAATCCCAAACCTTACTCATCTGCATGAAAATTCCCTTAAAACTGCGAGCACCCTGCTAAAGCAACACGAACACAAACCTTAAGCCTTAAACCCTACAAGCGCCCAATCAATCCAATAAAACACAACCCAGTCAATCATGATTCCTGTATGCCCTTCCCCGGGTCCAGATCCACCCAGTCAAATGTGTTCTGAGGGAAGGTGAGATGGATGATCACACTCTTCACCTGAACCATGCAAAACAGTTATGAGAATCATCAGTTCTAGCATTGCAGGATTTTCGCAGGGACCTTCAGGTTTTCATATGAGGGCATCAAGGAAAGCCTAAAAGCACAAATGCATTCGAGCAGCCTAGATTCCATGCGTGTGCCAGGGGGCTTCTACTTCCTCCTGGTGGATCTTGCGGGTGTGAAAAGGAGGTCTCGGTCTGCCATATTCCAGCTTTGTTGATCCGAAAGTCTTATGGGCAGCAGCAGTCGCGGCAGATTCGCTCTGAGTATACTGGAGAACTCCATCTAGGGCAGCTCAACCTATGAAGAAACTTTGCTTCGTGATAGTGTCGTATTCAGGTCATAAAGCCCAGCTGCCCCAAACAAACACTCAGAAGCTCTCAAACTCCAAATCCTAGGAACCCTCATGCAAAGGATCCTAACCGGGACTTGAAAGGAATCCGCCGGGCAGTTTCACACACATAGCACTCCCTGATGTCAACCCTGATTTCCAGGATAGTTGCTTTTTGGACCACCGAAAAGCTGAAAAGGTGATCTGCTATACCTCGGGGTCTGTTGGAACTATAGCAAACGGGTGACCATAACCCCTCAAGTCCTGTTGCAATTTCGAAGGTCCCGATATTGCTCAGAAGCGCCCAGCTTGTCTTAAGTTGTCGTTCGAGGGGCTCCATAAAGAAGAAGGCCGGGAGGACCGAACACAGTCCTCTGATCAGTAGGGAGGACTCACAGGGTTCGGTCGAGGTTCAGAGGGGAGGGCTTGGACTTTAGGGCTTCAGGTTCTGGAACCCCTCAGTAGAGGTGTGTTTCGTCCTTAAACCCTAGTCTACACTGTACTCAAACCATACTGAACGTCAAGGTGGCTAGAGCCGTAACATGTTGTAGCTATACATAGCTCCGGGCCTCTCACACATGCGTGCCCTTGGTGCAACTGTAAAGAAGGTAGGAGTAGACTGATCTTCCAAGCAGCTGTCCAAGGACTGGGGCTGACAATCCCGGCCAACGGTGATCTAACTTACCTCCTTTTTTAATGTATAGAAAGAGCCGGTATATGGTTTGAGGGTTATTCCTGAATTCAGCCGATGCAAAATCCCATGACTCTCCTAAACTGTGGCCATCTTACGCCAGGTGTTGGCCTTTCAAGGAGCCTGAACTCTTTCCGGACATGAATCGGGCGGAAAGCGACTTTTGGGCTGCTGTCTTGGGCATGGGGCAGCCCATCTCTTGGAAGCCAGTTATCTAGCATCCTGCCCTAGCCACCTTGCCTTATTCTATGTCTTCTCTTCCTCATGCCTGCTTCTGCCTGGAAATCAATCCAGCATCCGCACGAAGGTCTTGATATTTCAAGGTTTGGGCGGGCCCAATACTCTGAAGGTGAGACAAACTCAAAACCGTTCTCCCTTTCCCTTTATGCTGCGTACCGCTTCAGTACGACCCTGTTACAACAGGGCCCCTCAAAAGCACCCTCAGTCTCCGCGAACCACCCTCAACCATCCCAAATCCTGGTTTCCTGCCTCTACCCCACACCAACTGCCGAGCCGCTCTACGACGCCCTGCTCAGCAAAGTGAGCCAGCTGGGCTCCGGCGAAGTAGGGCGCTTGGAAGCACTCCTCGGAAGCGTTCAAGAGCACAGGGATTTAGTGAGTAGACGTTCCGGGCATATCTATGAGGCTGCTATGGTCAGCCGTTAAAGCATTCGAGCTCTTGAGCCTTCGAGGCCTTAGGCATAGTGTTTAGGGGCTCAGGGATTTGGAATCGCAATCACCCTGCTACCACTACCACTGCGACTGCTATCGCTACTGCACTGCCACTACTACGACGACGACGACGACGGCGACACGACGACGACGACGACGACGACGACTACTACTACTACTAATCCCACTCCTGCTTGTACTCCTGCTGCTGCTACTGCTACTGCTACCAGTGCTGCTACTGCTACTGCGACTTCTTTTGTTGCTGTTGCTGCTGCTACTACTGTGACGAAGACCCGATTGTTGCTACTAAAACAAGAAGAGACATCTGAGTCAGCATAAGTCCACGAACTCGTGGACGGCAGCTTCGGCCGTGCCAAGCTTCGTAACCCTTCTGCCTCAAGTGGTGGAATATGAAATAGACGAAATCGCCGTTGATTCGGCTCGTGGAGACGGCAAAGCACTTCTGTGCCTCTCAGGTCGGGGATTGAAGTGCGGCGTCTATCCAGGGTTTAGGAAATTTCTGTCTGTGGTGTTTGGAGCTCAGATTTGGGTGTAGGGAGGGTTGCGTTGAGCACAATGCTGTGCCTGAGCTTGTCTCTTGAAGTTCTTGATGCACTGTCATCTACAATACGTATCATTACTGTAAGCACTAAGAGCACCTTGGTAGCTAATCTCGCTCTTATCAACATTTGGGGTGTTCGTCATTGTTGTTGCTGCTGCTCCTGGGATTGACGGTGTAGGCTTGAACCTTTGGGCTTATTCAGCCACTCACACGACGCTGAACCTCATAGTGGTCTTCACACAAAGAGAGATCTAGATTTCGATGATTCCCGTAAAAGCTGCTCTCCTCAACTCAGCTGTCCTCAGCCCCTGAACCCGGAACCCAAATTCCTGCAACAACATCTCGATGCCTAAACCAAGCCCCCAGAACTCTGGACCCCTGAAACCCAAACGATTTGGGCCAAACTGCAAATCCCTAACCTTGCCTCTCTCTAGACCACCCCAAACTCCGAGAACCTGCAGAAAGCCCGAAACACCGGAAACCCACCCCAAAAAATTCCGATGTTCGGGGCCTGCGACTTTTCTCCTTGTGCCAGGCCTGGGTTTGTTTTTCCGGGGGATCACTCGGGGATGGGGTAACATAGGGACCTTGATAATTAGAATAGGGTTTCGATTAAAATGTTATGTAACATAGGGACCTTAATAATTAGAACAGGGTTTTGGGGGCCACTATACTTTTCTTATAATAAGGACCCCCCCAGATTATAGTATAGGTAATTATTTGGGCCCCTAGATTATGGAAAAAGCTACCTTTAGAAGAACCCTGAAGGCTTAAAGGTTGGGTCTTGGAGAAATACATGTCCAGGTAGGGCCTTCCACAGGTTAGAAGGCGAACGTGAAGGGAAAAGATAACTTGACCATGCACTTCTGCACTGCCGGAACATAAACTTGTGGGGTTGGGGTGGGGCCTACCGCGGCAGGACACCAGGAAAGGAATTCTCGTCTAGGGAAGCCCGGCTGTTTAGAGGATTTTTGGCATTCTGGGAGCGCAGTTCACCCTGACCCAACCTGCCAAGACCGAGCGGCAATTCCACGCCATGTCCATCTGATGGTCCATGCGGCTAACCTTGGCCGAGCTTGACACAAGCTCCCTCAAGAAGCAACAAAGACCCAACGCTCTTCAAGGTGACGGCCCCAAAACAAAACCTCGTCCCCAAATCAATCCGCAAAACGCCCCCAGGTGCATGGGCGAAGCACCGAAGCCGAAGCTTACCCGAGCTTAAACCCAGGCTCACAAAAAAACCTGGCAGGGTGGGCTGTTCCACCTGGACGTGGGCACAAATCCAGATGCCCGAATCCCTGAAACCTACACCCTTAAACTGCCAGCTCCTCAAGTGGGATCTTTCCTAGTTTAACTATAAACCTCGCGTCCCAAAAACCATCACCCCCCATGCATAGGGTTCGGTTTAATGTGATGATGTGCTTGTTTATGTGAAAGCCTAAACCCTCAACACCTGACAAACAAAAGAACAAAGCAGAACTACAGAAGCTGCAATAAACCGCGAATGCCTAACCCTGAATTAACCCTAGCCCTAGCCGCCCTAGCCCTTTACAGCAACGAAAGAAACAGCGAAGGCCAGGGTCAGGCCGGGAGGCAAACATGGAGTGCTGGGGCCCCGGTGCCACGCCCTGGAAGACGAAGATCGGATTGATCCCAGCCCTCAGCATGCTTCTGGAGGTTTTCGGGCTTTTAGGCTTACTAAGGTGTTTCCGAGATGAGCAGACCTTTGTTGAAACCTTCACAGGTCGTTTGCACGCTTCAAGCCTAACTGCAAACTAGATTTAACTTCGAGCCTGTGGGCGCGAGGTAACAAACAGCTTATCCAGAGAATGAGCAAACTAGGATTTACCTGTACGGCATGTCTCAAAAGTACGATCCCTTTCCTCTGCACCACTGCCTTCTCGGGGGCCTGTTCCAGATGATGTGTCATTGTTGAGACTTCTGAACAATGCGGAACACATTGTGCCAAAGCCCAGCAAGGACCATCGTTTAGAAAAGCTCGTGCTTGAGTCCCTGGGCTCTCAAGCTACGTGGGGCTACTTCGACATACCTCTTCCCAAAATACCCAGACGATAGGTTTCGCGTTCTTGCAAGCACGTCTCTTCCCAATGGTCTCTATCTGGTCTGCAAGCAAAACAGCATGCAACGACTTCTTATGGCGGGAGTTGTCCCAACACAAGAATCCCGTGAAGTTCAAACTCTTGCCAAGTGTCTCTCTGAACGCTTCCAGCTCCTTGTCCTCAGTGGGTGAAACACAATAAAACAACCGATGGGCTGTCGAAAGGCCAAAGCTAGAGCAAGACTGAGTTTAGGGAGAGGTTTGGAGACTATTCAACAAAACACCAAGGTGGCCGGCAAATAAGCAAATCCAATCCACTGACGTCTTGTGTCCAAGGCAATCGCACACCCTGGTCGACGTTCAGTCTTCTTCTTCTTAGTCTTCGGCTTTTCTGACATCTCAGGATTCACTAAGCCCTTCAATAACCGGCAGGGCTCGGAAGAGCACTAGGAGTAACCCAGGAAACCTACAACACGTTTTGGAGAACTCGAAACCATACATCCCAAATCCGAAGTCTGCACTACACTACACTTTAAATCCTCGTGAGAACCTGAATGAAGGTGGTTGAGCATCATTGGCAGTTTACACTGCGCTTGTGTCAAAGATTTTGGGCGGGGTTGCATGAAACCAAGCTTTACACAAACCAAACTACAATGACGGTTACATAGAGACACAGCAACCCTAAATCCAACCAACACCCTACATTCACCACCAAGCCCCAATAGAACCCGTTCAACATTTCCCGCCCGCTCTCTCCCAAGGAAAAAACCAAATAGGTAAAGGAATACTTTGGAAAACCTGACGCCGGACAAGGCCAGGTGTCCACGAAACCGAAGATGCCGGGCGGGATTCCGCCGAGAGCATCTGCGAAGGGATCCTCAGCTCGAGCTTCCAGGCCGTTCCAGGTACAAGGTGTGTAGAAGCATTCTTTCTCTGGGTCTCCAAAACCAAGCCGAGTTAACATCATCAGCACAACATCTGCAGTACTGACAGCAATGTCAACAATCGAAGTCGCCATCATCGTCATCATAGTCACCACCACAGGAACCATAGCAACGGCGATGAAATTTTGGCCACTCCTGCACCAGCAGCACCACCACCACTACCACCATCACGTTTAGGAGTGCTCCTGCAGCTAATAGCGAAGTTAACGACGTTCGCTTTGTCATCCTGCCGCTGTACCCGTTCCCACAGGAGCTTTGGCTCGAAGGCTGAGGCTCGTCTTCTTTGGACCTGTGGCGTATGGGTAAAACTTCAGGTTATATGGTCAACCCTTCGTCTTTCAAGGTGTTTGATGGCGTTTATCCAGATCAGGTGCGACTTGTGCAACTCAACCAAGCATCCGTGCTTGAGGAACCCAAAACCTTGAAACACTGCAACCTCCAAGAGAATGTCAAGACTCGAGGAGGAACCCGAGAGTCCAAGAAGCAACCTCAGTCCTTCCTCAAACAGTCCGCATCCTACACCACAAAACCCTGCACAATCGAACCCTGAACTCTACATCCCAAACCCTATGCCCTCGACCACACCACGCGCCGAAGCCCTAAACCCTAAACCAGACCCCCTCAGACCCAAACTCTAGACCCCAAAAAGCCGTTAGCCCAAAAAGGCTCTGTGAAAGGGTTCGCAAAAACCTACTGTAGGGGCCTTCATAGTTAGAATTGGGGTTTGGGGGCCCCTTATTACAGTATACCTATAACAAGGAACCCCCTATAACAAGTGACCCCCCCTCCCCCCGCCCCCCCAAAAAAAAGTAGTAGTATGGGTGATTCTTTAGGCCCCAAAAATTCGAACCCAAAAGCCCGGCGAGGGGCTTTCAAGGCCTGGATGGAGCGGAGCCAGAACACAGCATCGACCCCCACTTGCACGTGTCGAAGCTCCGAAAGCTTTCCTTCGCAGTCGTTTGTTTTTTAACGAGAACACACACGTCAGAACTTGTTTGGGCGCTGAGGCCTTGGGGCTGAAGTAGGCTTTGGGCTGTGAGGGTACAGTAGAAGGGCAGGGGAAAAGCAGGAATGCGAATGTACAAACCAAGGCGATAGAAGCCCCAATCCGGACCCTGAGAACAGAACGCAAGTGCGCCGAAGTGCCGGTGTTCTGGAGTAGGGCGTCGCTTACGGGTTCTTGTGACGATAAGCCATGATGGGCACAGGTGTTGCAAAGGAAACTCCTCGAGTTCCCAAATCGTCAACAACATTGAGCTCCATACAAGGGTTACCATAAGACCGGCTGAACATCGCTGGATACTCCGAAGCACTGCTAAGACCGGTCAGAAACAGAGAAACCTCATATTCAAAGAATGGACGAGTGTCCGGTGTTTACCAAATTTTGCTCTTGCAGATGGGTTTGGAGATGTCTAACTCGCATCGCGTGGCCTGAGACGATGGATTTGCACAGCACTCGTCAGCAACAGCACTCGTTTTGCAACTAACATGGATTTGCTGTTGCTGTTGAAAAGGTTTACTGGGCGTGATTTGGAGACAAGGAAGAGGACTCAGGCTGTCGGGGTTTGTGTGTTTAGGTCAGCACGGTCCAGTCGGTGGATGGTTCAGGATGCGAGATGCACTTTCATGGTTCCGGAGATTACAGTTGAGGGTGCAACACGGAGCTCACAGCACAGCAAGTCTGAGTACTGCTGTTGTTTGCGGACACTCAAGTGCCCTAGGCCCAGTATGGTTTAAGCTACTTAGGAACCTTACTTAACATGTAAGCCCGTGTAAAAATAATCAGAAAACACAACTGTAACATCCCCCTTCAGGCTTTGGAATAATAACAACTCATCAGAACATTCCCAACAAGAGTCCCGTTTCGATGTTCTTGAAGAAAGTGGTTCGGTGACCCAACATCGACCCAAGAACGACTCTTGCTCAGAAGCCTACCACACATCCAGATTATGGTAGCTTCAAGCAACTTGCCTAACAAGAACCAGGGGAGAGCCGGTAGCGGTTTCCAGGTTGGGGCATTGGGCTTGGTGGGCCTAGGTCTTTGGTGAGTAGGCTGTCGGCTCTAGCCAGAGTTTCAAGCACCATGACTGGGGATGCCTGGTTCAAAACCACACCTGCCGAGTCCCCGATGTCAGGGCTTCTCGGCGTGGAGTGTAGAATTAGCGGCTTTGATGGCCATCATCATCATCATCATCATCACGAATGTCACCTTTGTCTTCAGCAGTGCCGTCAATCGCACCATCAAACAGGTCACATGTATCACCGAATCTTCAGAAGGCTCGACTGCAAGTGCACAGCTGCGATGTGTGCGGAGCACTCGGGAAGTATCCCAAGAAAGCTTCATGCGGTTTTCCAGACCCCGAAGGTTCAGAGGAAAGTCTTGCGATCTGTTGTTCTACTAGTAAGGATCGACTGCAAAGGAATAATGCAACAACAAGTGTCTTGAGATCTACTAGGAATTACCTAGATGAGCTGCTTGTGGTTAAGCTCGGCCGCTTCGGGCATTTACGATCCTAGCGAGCACTTCTCCGAGATGCTAAACTCTGAACCCTGAACCCCCAACCCTCGCCCCTGGACCCCCTCTCTTTTCATTTCCATTGCTTCTCTGTGTCTCTCGCTCCCACACGCAGACTCCACCCCTGCCCCCCGCGCCGCGCTGACCTTCTCCTCCGCCGGGGGCGGCGGGGGAGTCCCACACAGCTCTTTTGACTAAACGGCTGCGCAAGAGGAGAAATGGCAGAAAGAATCCTCAATACGCGGACACATGCATAGGGCAGCCCTACCACAAGAGGCCCGAACAGATGGAGAGGTTTCAGATCTCTGCAGCCCCAAAACTAGGATCGAGGTTGGCCTGTCAAGCCATTGACGAAAACTCGAAAGAAGAACCTCTTGAGCGCAATACATCAGCATGCACAATAGCCGAACCACTTACCTAGGGAGTTGTCAAGGGGTTAGTACTAAAGTACATTACGACGATGTTCCCATGAGGTTATAGGCGGATTTCTGAGTACTCTTCTAGGGTTGTGCCAGGTGCAGATTCGAAACTTACATTTGCCAACACATAGATGCCCGCAAGAATCCTGGAGCTAGATAGCCAGGGGCAAGACAGAAATTCGAAAGAGCCTTCAAGGACAAAGTTTTCTTGACGTACGAGGGATCCTGTTCTGAAAGCCGCAAGATGGCTTCACTGAATTTGTTCGTTGAGTGTTCGTACGGGATTCCCGGCTAGGGCTTGAGGGGTTTAGGTGAAGAGAGGCAAGAGCAGAGTGCAAGACTCTGCGCACCGACCTGACACCCTGAACTCTGCTGAACCCTAAAACCTACACCGCGTGAAAGTAGGGCAGACCTCGGAGAATCCTTGGATGAAGGTACTCCCTTGTGGGATCCTCGTCGCTCATCTTTGTGGTACAGAGCTATGGGAAATCAGAAGCAAGAATCTAGAAACTGCAACGGACTGCACTCTACTTGTTCTCGCAGGGAAGCAGATAGCATGGAGGAGATTCCTTCAACGAAGGAGCCACACCAACAAAGCTAACACCCGGACAACCCTCCTAGCAGGAGCCAAGTCCAGGTGGGATTTCCCTCGCCAATGGCCTGGATTTGGCTCTGCAAATCACAGAAATTATGAATACGGCTGGTTCTGCATTGGGGTGCTCCTTTTCAGGCACTTGTCCATTCATCATGATCCTGAAAAGAATCATTCCGTCAACCTCCAACCTCTGTTTGGGACTCGCAGAATTTACGAGACCCTCCTAAATAGTGGCTTTTCTTACCGTCGATGCACCCCTGCTCTGAAAAATCGGTGGGAACCCGTTTGCCGACGTGCAGCTCGTTGAGAGCAGCCTCGTGCTCTTCCACCTCTCTGCCACGTTTGGCAGAGTTCAAGCTGAAGCGGTTGGGGGCTAGTTTTAGGTTTAGGGGTCGTGGTGTAGCATTGGTTTTGGCTTCTGACCCACGTCGAATGGCCGACTTAGACAAGACAAGGAGTTCAACCTCCTCATCAGCAGCAAATGCCCGTAAGTGTCAGACTGAGGCTGGGGGTGCCGGGCCTTCTTTTCGTCAAGTTTAAGAGTTTAAGCTTCAGTAGGTAACACGAGGCCCCATACCAACAAAATCATGGTTACGTCCAGTTGTCATGTCTGTCAGTCTCACTGCCGTTTTGTAGGCATGGCAATGTTATTCTTGCAACTTGTATTACCCTTGCTGTTTGGCTTCTATATATGGGATTGAAGCTGAAGCCGTAAAGCGCATCAGGAGTCAATCAGGGGTCCTCGATCCGTGAAACCCGGGCCGTTATCCTAAACGGCAGACCACAAGGTGGCGGATTCTCTCTAGGGTTCTCCGGTATCTGTATTGCCCCCCTAAGATCGTTGTAGTTGCTGAGACCTTTTCTCCTCTTTTGTCGCACTGCCGGAACCAGTACCCCGTTTCTGAGCCCAAACCTCGCACCCTCTGGGTCAAACCCCATACCCTGAACAACAAAATCTTGACCTGAAGCTCTAAATCGGGCAACCTGAGTCCGGGACTCTCAAACCTCACGCATCTAAACCATCGAACGGTGAGGCCCCCCAAAAAAGCTGGCTCGCACCAGGAACAGCAAATGGTTCGGCGACTCCGCCGTCCGGATGCGCCTGCTGTGGGCGCGCGACTCGCATCAAAATTCTTGCTCCCATCCTGGCCCTTGTTGCTGCTTGTCTTGTTTCCTACCAGACGATTCGTATTGTCGTCGTGTTCCTCCTTCCATGACTCTCCGCAGCGTGTTGTTTTACAACTGCCAGTTTTCTTGCTTTCTGGCATGCTTCATTAATGCTCCTCTTCTAAATCTTCGTGTATCAGGGTTGAAGGCTTGCTTGGAGAAGCAGCGGACCTAGCAGATCGGGTGACATGCGGCCCACTTTGAGACAACACAAGGGCCTCTATTCTGCAAGTAACTCATATCCCTGGGCTAAGCCTATCAACTGACTTTCAAACAACTCCGGTGAAGGAATACGTAGATAATCAGCTGGTAGCTGATGGTGACTTTAGTTTAAAGCGGCATCAAACGACGGTTGAAGAACCTGCGCCAGTCATCCATAAATCTACAGTGCCAGCAGTCTCAAACACCTACAAGGAGAGCCCGGGAATATCGACTGTCCTTTTGAACCCCAGCATCAGACGAGAGGAAGCGGAATGGTCCTTCACTGATCCCTGAATCGAAATCCTAACCTGAACCGGTCCGGTCTCCCCGTCGCCCAAGTCAGGAAATTTTCAAGCGAGCCTCAGCCAAGTACGGAAGTTACTGATCCCTGAGACAGCCCGACTCCGAAGGCACTCAAGCTCGATACCCTGGGCGACCGGGGGTGTCGGGTTCAGGAATTGGGGCCTAAGGCTTAGAGTTCGGGGCTCAGGGTTTCGGATCTAGGGTTTGGGTTTAGGGGGAAAGGGTTCTCAGGTTTTAGGTTCGGCTTTGGGTTTTAGTGTTGCGGAACGCGCAAGCATAAGCGCCCCAGCGCACCCCGTCAGCTGCCGCGGCGAGATGCCTTGCACATTCTGCACCCTATAAAACCCGGTAGCTCAAACACGTATAGCCTGAATAGTTATTGTATCGTTCGATGGCACACTAGACTCTGATAAAGTTTTAGACAAGCTGCAATTCGTAAACTGGATTCGGGCTTAGGGTCTATTGCTTAAGTCTAGAGTTTGCGCGACGACCGTGTGGCTTTCCAGCGGTCTTGCTCTGCAAGCTGAAGCATACATGACATGGCAATAGTGCTCATAGCACCAACCCAGACCCTCAAAGGATGCGAGACTTGTAAACCGCTCAGAACAAGGTGTGTTAGGTCCAGGGTTCCATCCCTTGCATCCGCCAACAGGTCTGGGATTCACATCGCACCCCCGCGCTGCGACCCACGAACACATGATGAGGAAACATGTTAGCCTCCAGAAGTAGAACATAGTTGTGGGGCATATTGCAGTGGACTTATGGGGATTTTAGGGGTATGTTGGCACCAACCATTCATCAAACCTCTGTGCGTAGTGCTTGGCCATCCCAAACCCAGTGTGGCATGGTGTAATGATTTGTTTTTCAGAGGCTGTTTTTCAGAGGGTCCCACCTCTACTGCTGGGAGGATCAGAAGACTTTGTAACTCCTGCTATAGGGCAAGGAAAGGAAAGGCATAACTGCTTGTACCCCCCTAGCAGTGTACTCACAATTCTGCTTGCAACTATTCATAAGCCTTCAAGCGGGGCTCCAATAGGGATCCTTCGTAAGGGATAGCTGCATCGCCGATTGCACCCAAACATCCCCAACCTCCGCGCCGGCGCTGCGTATCGCGGAGTGCAAAAGCCTCAATGTCATGGGAGCAGGATGTGGTTCAGAGGCACTGGCGTGATTGTGGTCTAGGGATTGTCTTGCGCACACTGAATGGACATGTAGTCGGAGTT